TGCATCAGAGGAGAAAATTCCTCATAACGACGCTTTTGTGTTTGCCTTGTCGGCTTAAGAAGGTTGCATATTATGTTGTTGTTGTCTGAGCGTCTCTGTTTCTGCAGCTTTTCTTCCAGAAGTGCCATAATTTGGGCAAATTAGAGAACAAATGAATTCTGTCCAATATTTTTTTATTGTATTTTTAATAATTTTTTGTTTTGATATATCGACTATTTTGACAGCCCTATTTGTACTTTTCTTGTCTATCCATTTGCCCCTCCGTCCCTCAGTTCAGTACCCTGGTTTCCATCTTCCTGTTTGTTCCCCTTCTCTCTGTCTCTGTTCTCTCCTTTCATTCTTCCATTTGCCCATAATCTTTATTCAACATCCCTTATGCCTTCATCTGTCCATTTTTCCTAGATAATTCATTCCTCTGTCCATTCACCCATTTATATGAATTTATTCTTCAATCTTTCTGTTTGTCCAACTTATTTCCTCTTTAAAAATTTGTCTACAACTTTTATTCTGGAAAAGTATGGATTTTAAATGTGAAAAATTTGTAAACTGACTAATCAAAAACACACTCACTCTCTTCATACTGCATAAAACGGTTAAATTAGTTCTTAAATACAGTCTCTTTTTTTTTAATCCTGTTTGCTGATGCTTTGAGTTAGAGAAAATAATCCCACAGTATAATTTGTTTTTTTAATCAGTCGGGAAGCGTGTATCTGTATGTTGTTCATCCTTTACTCATTAGGGGTATATTGTTGTTGCGTTGTCATGCAGGTCAAGGGTTTGTGCATAAGAGGTCAAACTGCAGAGTTTGGAATGTGCTCCTTGATTTCATTAGCCACACTTAAAGAGAGTTGGCCTTGGTGTTCCAGTGTGTGTCTCTGTGTTGTGTTGTGTGTTTGTAGGAGCTCTAAGCAGAAAAGAATTCAATGCTCCCGTATAAGCAAACATTTGGTATCAGGGGATGCAGAGTGTTTATTGCTCAGATTCTGTCTCTTACCAACATGTTCGCGGTGGAGAAAGAAGAAACACCAAGTAGACAGGCGCACACTTCCAAACCTCCCTGCAGAGAGTGTTAGCTCCGTGACTTGTTTCCCAACTCAGCAGCATCTTCCTGAGGCCTCTAATAAAACACAGATCAAAGACAAGCAAGCAGACATGTCATCGCATACAGAGACACACACACACACAGTTCTGTCATTTCTGCAGCCGTTATTAGTGCCTGTGCTTATCTGCACTATCTTTTGCAACAATGAGTCACAATTGTCTCTGTTCCTTTCAACATGCTCATTTTGGTGGGTTTAAAACGAAAAACACCGTAAAGGCATGTCACTCTTAGTTCCCTGATGACCGATTTGTAAAGTTTATCCTCTGATAAAGCCAGTATCATGTTGCAATTGTTAGTAGACATGATTTACGTGAAAACTGTTTTAGTTCATGAACTTTGAGTATAAAGTTTCCTAGTTTTTCACTTTGGGAAGAAACTTGTTTTATTTGTTAGGAAATATAGTATTAAGTGGCTTGTAAAAGTATTCATACTCTATACTTTCCCAGATTTTGTCACATTAGATCCGCAAGTTACAATTTATTTCAAATGTATTTCCTTTGCAAATGAAAATGGCCAATTACAGCAGCAGGAATGTTTTTCTTCTAGCTTTGCATATCTGGCAACTCCAACTACATCCAATTCCTCTTGAAGTAGCTCAAGCACTCAACTTGAACAGAGAAGATCTGTGGACATAATTTTTTAAGGCTTGACACAGAATTCCAATTGGGTTTATGTCTGGACTTTGACTAGACCATTCCAAAACATACATAATGTTTTGGTGTTGTTTGCTCTTAAGTGAATCTCTGTTCTGCAGCCTGCAACAAATTGTCTCCCAGCGCATCCCTGCATCTCGCTTAGGGCTGCGCAGTACATCGCTATTCACTGTACGCAATAGCAACGTTACAAATGACTGTTTGGACTAAAATAAATATTAGCTTATGAGTACAACAGATTCAGGTTGTCAATGCAAGTAGCGTGCTCGGTTCTGTTTGCATCAGAAAATGTTTTAGGAGGACATAAAGGTATTCTCGTAAAGTCTAAGAAGCTTCAACTGACTTGTTTCTTTGCCAAAAAAGCAGATGGAGCCAGATGCGACTTTTTAAATTAAACTATGTTGTTTAGAAAAACTTTTTTTTCTCTCTCCAGTAGATGGATGCCTTACTCAAGATCGTGGGCCTATGTTTGCAATAAACTTGAAGCACAAAGAAACCCTGTGTTTTAGTTACATGTTTGTTTGTTTTTCACAAGTTATGATGTCATCTGGATGTGCAACACCATTACCAGATAGCTTTTTTTTCCTGGTAATCTAGTTCCATCCATCTTCCCATAAACTCAGTTTACTGAAGCTGCCACCACTACGTTTCAATATTGGGATTGTTGTAGTATTATTGTGCTCGTTTGCTGACATGCTGTATGTGCACCCTACAAAACGTGAGAAACGAGTTTCTTTCAGTAAAATCTTTCTTCGTGCGTTTCTTCCTTTTAAAGTTGAGATATGGATAGTAAATTGGATACAAATGGACTCCATGGAGCAGCTAGTTTTTTTGTCAAGGGAGTAGTCTCGAACAGATTTTCCTTAAGGATATCGGAGTAAAAAGAACTGAACACAAAATTGGTTTTTCTATTTAAATTCCAATTTGCCATAAAATATTGAAGTATGGGGTTGTAGAAAAACAAAATGTTAAGTTTTTAAAGGGTACAATTACTTTTGCAGGCCATTGTAATTAAACTTTACCTGATTTGTTTGTTTTTAGATCCTAAAGAACTTTTCGTCACTTTTCCTCCTCCTGCAAACCATTGTCCACAATCATCAGCGCAACACTGACGTATTCTGCTTATGACAAAAATGCTGTCGGCTTTATGGAGCCTGTAATGTTAACATGTCGGCCCCCTTGCGATAGCTTGTGTGACAGAACGGTATGCGAGCATATATTCTCTGGCGTGTGACTGTTTTTCTTTACATTTGAAGAGCCAGCAGCTGGGAGTCATCTCTTCTTGATGTGTCTGCCTTGACCGCCCCTCTCTCGCTGAGTAAGCCCTGAATACAGTATTAAGTGGACTGTGAAACCCAAGCAGGCTGTGTGGATCCGAGGCTCTAGGCTTAATAAAGAGGCCAGCTAAAAGAAGATGAGCAGGGCTCATTTGTTCTCTCAAAACATGATGTGTTTGTCCAGCGATTTGTTGTCATAAATACTCGCTCTCCCACACTCGGGCAAGAACAGTGAGACCCTTTCTGCTTTCATCTACGATTTTGGATGTGTTTTAGCTGGAATAATAAAAAAAAAAGAGGCATATTTTAAAATGCTTAAAAATGTATTCTCTTCATTTTCCGCTCTTCTCATCATGTTGTTAGGTTTTTATTTTTAATCTTGTGGCTTTCTCTGCTTTAAAAAATTTTTTTTTCTTATAAGAACTCATTGGTTGTTCTTTTGTCAGGTTTCCAATAATCTTTCAAGCAAATCGGAATTTTAAATTTAAAAAACAATTCAGATTCTTATGAAAAAATAAGACTATAAGAAATCTTGTTGGACAGGTTAAGTTTTGAGTTTAAAGTTTAAAGCCTTCAGAAAGTTCATTACCAAGAATAAAACATTTACCTACTCTAGGCCTTAAAAAAGTTGTTTTTTTTATTGACCTTGGTGTTTTTTCCTATTGCAGACAAATATTTTAATGTATTTTTGGAGGATTTGATGTGCTAGATCTACACATAATGCATAGTTTTATTTTATATAGTATTCAGTGCGCTTTTGAAGAGTCAATACATGGTAGAAACCATTTTCTCTGTAATTTCACCTACAAGCCACCTGTATATGTCGCTACCAGTTATCAAATGCAAAGAGATATAATAGATTTGGGTAGACGGGGATCCCTGCGTAGCTCTTGCTGAATGTGTTGTTTTGTTTAAAAATGCGAACCAGCTCTCAACTTTTTTTTTTTTTTGCAGCCTCTACTTTTTCCTAGCTGAATAAAAACCACCGCCACAGCATGATGCATGTTTCACCATGGGGACACTGTGTTCAGTGAAACACGAAGTATCAGTTTTCTGCCCCATACAGAGTTTTGCATGCATCACAGATTTCAAATTTTGTCTCGGCGGACCAGTTCTTAAAATATGCATCCTTTTTCCACTTCAGTTATGTGAGATCTTTTACTTTCCTATCATTTAAAATCCCAATGAGAAGTATTGAAGTTTTCCGTGTGTAACTTGGACTACGAATACTTTCCCAAGGCAAATATGTACTGTAGATTGTAGGCCTGTCATTAAAGGCATCAAAATGTGTAGATCAACAAACACATTTCACTTTTGTTCATTCCCTTCCATCACTGCTTTACTGTAAAGCCCTTTCTTGGTCAACAAGCACAGGGAAGTTTATCACAGAACATGGTCTATATGTGTAAGGCTTGATTTCCTGATTGTGTGTTTGGACTGAAAACAAGCTGTCTAAGTTTATCAGCGGATCTGTTAATTACCCAGTACTCTGTGCTAATTGCTTCAGCCCCTCTCACTGCACAGATTTAGTCTATCACATCAAATACATGTTTAACATACATTATTGCTGCACCACAAAGTCACTAGTGACTGACAAAATATGCTGACCTCATGTAATACTTATGTGTGGTACTTTTTTTTTTTCTTCTTAACCTTGGAAACCTGAAATTGTATAGTCAAATTTTCTGCCATGTTTTCTCTCTTTGTTCTAGAATTCCTCCTGTTGTACAATTGTTGAAGCTCTTTTCTTTGAGAAACCAATCTAAAATCTGCTCCATTTTTTTTGAGATTCGTCCCCCTCTCTCCTCCTATGTATAGAGATTTAGTTAAAAATCTCTATACATTTTCTCCAGTTTGTTATCCAAAGCTAGTTTTTTTTTTCTCTGTTTTTTAATTTTTGCTATTCTTCTCTCCCTGTGTTTCTTCCTTTTCCCTCCCTCTTTCGCCTATTTGGCTGCTTCCCAATAGGAGATGTCGTTGGTAGGTCCAGAATCTCCATCAGAACAAGCAAGAAGGGTTTTCCAGTCATTTGATCCAGAAGGTAAATAAGCAACAAGTGTTTGCATCATTTGCACTGCACATGTGATCATAATCTTGCACCCCACTCTCTGTGGGCTTTCTTTTTTCCCCCCCATGTTTCAGATTAATTGAAAACTTCCCCTGTCCATCTCTCCCTTCTCAGTCACTCTTTCCTTTTCTTCTACATGGGGAACAAAATGGCTCTCTGATCTCTGCTGTTATTGTTGAAGTTTGTCAGATCAGCCCCTCCAACAGCTGAGTCAACCATCCTGCCTCTTTCTTCTTTCCCCCTTTTTCTCTCCCTTATTGCCTCTTCCAGCTAACAGGGGTAGAAGGGAGTGGGAAGGACATGACTAGTTTCTTTTATCTGCATTTTGAAGTTGAAAGTTAGTTTTTTGTTGCTTTTTTCCCCCTCTGTGGTTAATTTGCATAAGATGCGACTGAAACGTCCTGTTTAGAGGACATATTATTTACAAACAGCTGTTTCTGCTTACAAAGAAGAGAACATCTCTAGAAATGCAGCCCAACAGACATGAAGGAACTATCAGCCATAGGACCTTTTTTTATTTTTCACTTAGACGGCACATCTTGCTTTGTTTGCATCTTCTGCCTAGATGGTTTTTTCCACATCTACTTTGTTTATTACATCCATGCACTATGTACCACACTAGTGTAGCTTTTGTAGTAACGAACCAAAACAGCCTATTTATTTTCAAAGACTAGTTAATTTATTTCTGCCAAATACAGCTTACCTTTTTAAAAAGTTTTTATTTTTTGGGACAAATCAGAAAGAAAAGGTTCTGTCATTAAAAAAATGTTTTTGTTTTTTTTAAGTGGTTTGACCATGTCAAATAAAGCCTGATCTGGTCTAAGCTGAACTTGATAATTCTATGCTTAACGAAAACTTTCAACTTTAAAATGTAGCTTGAAATTTATCCAGTTATTTTTATTTTGTTTATGAAAACACAAAAGGAAGCTTTTTTTTTTTATTTATTTATTTTTTTGCGTTAGGACTTGTGGGCATACACTGCACACTATTTTCAGCACCAGCTCAAACTGACTACATTGCAGAGTTAAGTATTCAAATCATGTTCTCTCACTGTACGACCAGAAGCTCAGATGTGAGTTGATTGCTCAAGCTGCACGTCGAAGCAACACTTCAGAATCTTCAATCTGGAGTTTCAAAGAGTGTAAAACCACATGATGCACGACGCAATTAAGGCGAAACTCGGCGCAATCCCAAAACTTGGTAAAATCAATTCAAAATGGGTCAGAAATTCCTGAGGTTACATTTAGATTGACAAACATGAAGAACTACACATTGATCAGTGCTGTCCTTCACTTAATGAAGAGTCTGTAAAACAACGTTTTTGGTTTGTAAAACCTACACATTTTATGTGATTGCAAGTCTGTAATATCACAATTGCGAAGGACTGTTTTGATCCAATATATATTAAAATATTATTTGACAAGTATCATGTTTTCACAGTTGGATGTGCCTTCAACACAAACTCCTGGTGTAATTATTTTAATTACATCAGGAGTTAATCATTGTTTAATAATCAAACAAGAACATGAAAGGTGTAGTCATATATTGTCTCATTGAACAGTTTAGACACAGCCCATAGATGAAACTGTTGTGTTCACGTACATTTGTTTATACTGCGAAATGAAGCGTGTCATTCTCAGCTGCCTTAAGCAGCCCTGTTGACTTTCTGGCCCTTTGTGAGCACGTTCTGATTTGTGGACCTCATTCTGAACGTCCTTCCAGGACCTGCTGAGATTAACCCTTCCAGCTAGACGCAGTCCTGTCTGCTCAGAAAACCTCCACTATAGATCTGTAAACATAACTGTCATTTGTTCTTACTTGCTCTTCATTTGTTCCTTCCTGTCCTGTTGCACAGTACGGCAGTGCCGCTGTCATCTGCCAGCAGGTTCTGCGTACCATATGGCCTCCTCTCATGCACACCCGTGCACACAAGCGCATGCTTTGTCTGCTGTCGGTGAACCCACGCGCTTAACCTCAAATGTGCACACATGAAAGGAGAATACTGTACACAACACGCATATCCATGCAGCGTACAGTTGAGCGCTGCGGTAAGGGATGTAAAACTGTCTGTTGCATGTAGAGTCTGCACAGCTCCTTTTGTTATAGGAAAAAAAAAAAACTCGCACACAACGCACTGACTCATAAGTCGTCTCAGAAATTCCCCGTCTCTGTCGCAGTCGAATATTAGTTTGTCATGTCCCTGCACGGCGTTGTTTGTGCGTGCCTGCATCCTCTTACTTCACAGCCACTATCAGTTGTCGCTGTGGGAACGACATCTGGTTTTGGACCGAGAAGAAAAGAGTGGCTTGTGAGAGAGCAAGCTCCGTAATCGTCAATTAATCTCCACAACACAGTCGGGGAATATGGTAGAGTCTGAACAAGATAACCCACTAGCTCACAGTGACATAAACCTAGAAGTATCCAGCCAGACAAAACGGGCAAAAACACATGTTTGCATTTAAAGTTACTGCTTTCAGGTAACACAATCATGCAGTTCCAATCAGAGCGAAAGAACCAAGAGTTTTTATATGAGAGTTGTCGGATGACTTCATTGCCCAAGATCTGCAAGTTGATGTGCCAATGTTTGTGTGTGTTTCTAAATGCTTTGCCCTGTCTCAACTTATTGTGTTATGTGTATGATGTACCAACGTCTCCTTATGCCTCCTTTTGTCTGTCTCTTTCTAGATAATGGCTTCATACCAGAGTCTCTTTTGGAGGATGTAATGAAAGCTCTTGACCTTGTCTCAGAGCCTGAATAGTAAGTCCTCGCCTGTTCAAGGCTTAATGAAAGATTGTGTGTGTGTGTGTGTGTGTCGGGGGAGTGTTAGCTTGTGTGGTTGAACGTCGCACCTGTGGACTTTCTAAAGTTCTACCTCCTGAGTCAAGGCCAGGCCAGGTCAGTGACCCTGGGCTCAGGTTTCACTACCAGGCTGCCGTAAAGTAAAGCAAGAGAGAGCGTCGCTATAAAAGCCTAGGAGAAGGAGGAAAAAGTCAGAAACTGGCTTAGAGGGAGATCATTAACAGCAGGAACAAAGACAAAGAGTTCGAAGAAATGCTTGAAAGCGCCGCCTGAAACAGAAGCATGTTTTCTCTCTCGGAGGAACAGTAAGCCCGAATGCTGCAGTCGGGGAGCTTTGCCAAATACTGGACCACCGATCAGGTCTGCAGACCCCCAGATGGCCAATAGATCACAACAAACGTAGCAAACGGGAGGGAAACTCCCAGTGCAAGGCACATTCATTTCCACACATAGAGTTTGTGCTTTGACTCCTACAGTTAAAAAAAAAAGTGAATAGGGTAAATAATTTAACAGGATCATCTAGATTGTTTTTCTTAATAGGAGGGTACTGTTTTTAAGGGGATCTGGAAATAACTTTTGACAGTCTAAGTTTCAAACCAACTTTGTAGATGGATTTATTCACTGTACAGTCACATAACTTTTATTTGTTTATCTACAGCACCTTAAACACTCATTAGCATCCCTGGTAGAGATGCTGCAAGACACTTAAACAAATGCATTTTAAAGCATATCTTGTATCAGCCTTCTAGGCCACCCAGATATTTCTGGTTCTGATATGCTCTGCATCCCCAGAACCAGAACCAAACATGGAAAAAGCAGCATTCAGATTCTTTGCACCACAAATCTGGACCAAACTTCAAACAAATTGATCTTACACTGAAAATGTTCTAAAAACCCAACTCTTAAAAGCTGAGTGCAATTATTTTGTTGGGAGAAATCGTAACTGATTTTAGTAAAAGTCCAATACTGATTGACACATCTGCTATTAATACTTTGCCATACTTTGGCCTGTTTGTTAAGATGGTACTTTCTTCTACATCACACCAGGCAACAAGGAGGGAGATCTTTAATTATTTATTTATTTATTTATTTATTTATTTTTGCACAGTCTTCCTAGATTGTCCACAATTTTAAGTCCATTTCATTAGGATTAAAGTGATCATGAAAGGATGTTGTTGAACAATGTCTGTGTTGATTTGGCCATATGTTTTAAATGATTATTGTCTTTAAGCATCCAGTAATGGCTCATTTTTTAGTTTTGTTTTGTATGAAGCTATCTATTAAAGATCCCCTGGTGACATCCTCCACTCAATCTTACAATTGACCTGAGGTCGTTTTTTAGATTTTTATCCTTTGTATCTCGTCAAACCAACTATGATGGTTTTCTAAAAAAGAAAAAAAAAAAGTCTGAAGTGCCCAAAACACAAGATTCCAGGTGAAGTCATGGTGAGGGTCTTTGTGCAATCTGCTGGCCAATGGCTTTAAGAAATAGGACCATGTGTCAAATTATGGATTTAATGATTAAAGGTTCCTGTTACCCTTATCAACTAATTTTGTCTGTGGTATTTTATGCTACTACTGGAAAAGGTTAATTTATTTTTAGGCTTTCTTGTACATGTTTACTAGAGGTGCCGATAAATGTGGCCTGCGGTGTAATATCACTCTGACAGATGTAAGTGTTTTGATGCTATAAATATCATCTGACTCCATTTAAGAACAAATCAAGCCACAGATCATTTAAAAAAAAGAGTAAGTGGTCCTGATAGCTTTTTTTTAATTTTTTTATTATTGTGTGTGTGTGTGTGTGAATATATATATATATATATATATATATATATATATATATATATATATAAAACAAACAAAAAATACATACTCTCTCTCACTCTACACACACATATTTTT